CCCCCCCCCCCCCCCCCCCCCAAGTCCAAACACAAAGAATATCGCAGGAAGTTATTTTAAAGGTGTAAATATTTATTTGCGCGCATGCCATGCCAATAGGTTACCCCGTCAATACTGCAATGTGGTACTCTTGGGGTCTAGACCTATAAATGTGAGACGCCTTGGAAGAAACCCCCCCCCCCGGGATGGAAGGAGGGGGCGGGGGGAAGCCAGGTAAGGAAGCGGGTGAAATGGACTCTTTGGGTCATCCGACCTCCAATTCACAGCGAGGTCATCGCGATAACAATCTCTTTGTGGAATAAAACAAAGCCATTCAACTGTTAGTCTTAGCCTTAGTGTGCAGACCCTGGTCGGCCCATAGAAAAAGATCTGCAGTGTTTGGTCAATGGGGAATTTAAAGGACTCTTAAAAATATGTCCCCCCGGGAATTTCGTATCATTCCATTAGTAGACCCCTGTTACCTAATTGAAATTGAGATGCAAGTGCCATGGGATAGATGTTATGTTGAAATATGTTGTGTGGATATGGATTTATATGGATATTGTAGACCGATGCAATGGTTGTTAGGTGTCTTATGCTCTCTTCAAAACCATAACAATGCTCTCTTAGGACCATACCGATACTCTCTGAGGATCGTCGGAATACTCTCTGAGGATCATCCCAATACTCTTTGAAAACCATCCCGATACTCTCTGAGGACCATCCTAATGCTCTATTAGATTCATTCTAATACTCTCTTAGATGCCATGGGATACTAGATGTTATGTTGAAATATGTTATGTGGATATGGATTTATATGGATATTGTAGATCGATGCACTGGTTGTTAGGTGTCTTATGCTCTCTTCAAAACCATAACAATGCTCTCTTAGGACCATTCCGATACTCTCTGAGGATCGTCGCAATACTCTCTGAGGACCATCCCAATACTCTAATTAGATCCATCCCAATACTCTCCAAGGACCATCCTAATACTCACTGAGGATCATCCTAATGCTCTAAATAGACCCATCCCAATACTCACTGAGGACCATCCTAATGCTCTCTGAGGACCATCCCAATACTCACTGAGGACCATCCTATGCTCTCTGATGACCATCCCAATACTCACTGAGGACCATCCTAATGCTCTCTGAGAACCATCCCAATACTCACCGAGGACCATCCCAATACTCTAAATAGACCCATCCCAATACTCACTGAGGACCATCCCAATACTCTAAATAGACCCATCCCAATACTCACTGAGGACCATCCTAATGCTCTCTGAGGACCATCCCAATAATCTCCAAGGATCCTCACAATAAAACATTTGGTTATGCAAGGTACGATATACAAAGTAACACATGTTAATTATATTATTTTCTTGAATACTAAGTTAAATAAATATTGTACTCGTGGGGAGGGGGGGGGGAGTTTTTGCCATATGGGCCAGTTCATGGTTGGGTGGGTCTTTGATATGTGTGATTTTTTTTTTAAAGAATATGAGATACATATCACATTACATCAGCAGATCATCTGACATTAAACTTACAATTTAACACACCCCAAAAAACATATATAATGAATGCATCAAGCTAGAAATGTGTAGCAGCTTTACGACTTCTTATCTACGAGTTAGTCTAAGACGATTAGATCTAAATAGGCAACATATATGAGCACTAACATAGGCATCCACAGGGGGGGGGGGGGCTTAGGTGACTTTTTTGACAGGGGAAGGGTGGGGGTCCAAACTTTACCCAACAATTGAGCACTCGTCGGATTTTGGGGCCTTTAAAAAATAGTATCTTATAAGCAAATATTATCATTCTAAACCAGTGGTTCTTAACCCTTTGGAGGTACTGAACCCCACCAGTTTCATATGCGCATTAACCGAACCCTTCTTAATAGGAACAATAAAATATTATTATTTTTCGTATTTTTTTTATTTATTTTTTTTTTGGGGGGGGGGCCTCTACCGAACCCCTGAGACTGACTCACCGAACCCCTGGGATTCGATCCAACCCAGGTTAAGGAACACTGTTCTAAACCAACAATTTGGTACATTGGTCAATGGTACAAATATATGCCCCCCTCCACAACCCATGACACCATGTCCTAATTTTGCATCGATCACATCGTCATCGGAGTCATTAACCCCCCCCCCTCCCCTTCTCTCTCTCTCTCGCTCTCTCTCTCTCTCTCACCTTGGCCAGAAGCTCGTCCACCCTCCTGTTGACCACGAGTTCTATCCTATCCCTGTAATCCCCGTTCGCCTCCTCCAGGCGCTGTATCCGCGCCTCCAGTCCGGAGATGGTGCTGTGGTAGGACATGAGCGTCCACACCACGAACACCGCCATCAGCGCCACCAACGACAGCGCGAAGCACGCGAATATCCACAGCAGAATCTTTGAGCAGGGTCGGGGCTCGAGCCCGTTCACCTTGGCCGCCGCCTTGACGTGATGGGGGGAGCCCCACGTATCCCGACGATGGGGGGAGCCACAAGTATCCGCGCTCCCCCAGCTAGTTCTGCTGTTTACGTTTTTGTGACGGCTCTTGCCGCTGGATGAGGATGAGGACGGTGATGACCCACCATCCAGGGTCGGAGTATCCGTGGAATTCGTGGAGGTGTATTTGCTGGAGTAGAGAGTGGCGGCGTCGCTGGAAGACTCGAACCCACCTCCCTCCCAGTTTTTTTGGAGTATTTTCCTCTCGTCGTCCCTGCCTCTGGGTGCCGCCATTTTTTCCCGGCTTTTCGGGACCCTTAACACACACTTACTAGAACACAAGTGAGACTTTTTGTTATAGAAAACTCCTTGGACATGAGCACTAAGGCCCAGACATCATGGCTATCAATGAAACTGAAAGCCACGCCCTTAACAAGGATCAAGCTGAAGTCAATAACATACGAACTATTATTACAATTATAAATCCCTTACCTTCATATAGACACCTACACATAAAAGAAATTTTTAAAAAGTATTTGTCAAGTGCTTTTTTTTTTTTTTTTTTTTTCTTCCCCAACAGAGTAATTACTAAATGTATTTATTATTTTTTAATACTAACAACATTATTTCAGATTTTATTTATTTTTTTTAATTAAAAATTTTACACAAAAAAAAAATTTATAAAAATTATTTTTTAAGTTTTTTTTTTTTTTTTTTTGTTTGCTTCCCCAACAGAGTAATTACTAAATGTATTTATTAATTTCTAATACTAACAACATTATTTCAGATATTATTTATTTATTTTAATTAAAAATTTGAATAACTGCTTTTATGTTGTCCATTTCCATAATTTAAATAATTCAACTACGCCAAATAGTGTGTTAAAATTTGGCCCGAGTTGAGCCTGGATGTAACCAAAAAAAAATAAATAAAATTTATTTTATTTACAAAAATTAAAAACCACTACCCTTTAGAAATGCGCGAATTAAAACTTAAATTCCTAAAATCTACCTCACTGGTCCGTACGGAATTAATTCATGCTATGTTGAATCCGGCCTACATTGGAATTCATGAAACAAAACCAAAAACCAACCATTTACTCAATATGAATATGTATTTATAATATATCCTTTACGTTTCACTGTCCTCCTTTCATTGATCAAAAAAAAAAATAACAACAGAATTTTTTTTTTAAATATTCCTTGAATGAAATCAACTCTGATCAACACATGGCAGTAATCAACACTGATCAACACATGGCAGTATCAACACTGATCAACACATGGCAGTAGTCGTTTCATCCCTTTCAACGTTCAGCGGAATCCACACTACGCGCCGGGGCCCCGACGCAGTATTTCAAACAAACCCCCCCTTGGTCGTTTCAAAGGTAAAACCCTCCCCTCCGTCCGTTCCGGCGTGCTGCCTTCATATTCCCTCACCGCCAGGCCCAGCCGACCAAGCTACCCCCCCTCCGCCCCCCACTAACGGGGCTACGGTTCTCTCTTCGCCGCCTGCTGCCCCTTAAGCATTACAAAAATCGCGCCGGTACGCTCCTAACGCAGTCACTGGTGTTCGTTCGTTCTTTCTTTTTTTTGTTTGGTTTGTTTGTTTTTGTTTTTGTTAAAAAGAATTTCCTCCATTGATAGATTTGATTACTTCTAGCTTCCATTGTCTTTTTTTTTGTTTCTTTCGTTCTCCAGTCGCAGTTTTTTGTTTGTTTGTTTTTTAAAAAAAAACTCAATCCCGCAATAATAATCTCCGTTTGTGGTTCATAGTTTGTTTTTTATATTAACCCTTTTCTTCGTCTGTGTAGTCTGCTTTGCTGTCACCTGCAGCCTTAAGCTTTTTTCCAACACACGATTTGGTTCGTTTCTTTTACTTTTTACTTTTTCCCTTCTTCTTCCCTTTTTCAATTTTTAATAGGTTGTTGTTTTTTTTTTGGTGTTCGCTCTTTTGTAATTGTTTGCAGTCTTGGTATAAATTAATTATAGATAAAGTGTGCAGTGGAGCGTGGAGAAAAGAAAAGTCATTTGGGTTATTTACTATAGAATACTATGAATACTTGTCGTAGTTTTGGGGTTCTGTGGGTGGGGAGGCGAACGGTGGAGTGTTGAAACAAACATTCAACTATTTACCTACAACCCTCTCCCCCAATTTCCTGCAAGCAGGTTTGATAATAAAATGAATGGCATGTTTACATTTGCTATCCGAGAAAACTTGTTTGTAAGTAAAGGCAGTGGTAGATTCATCGGTGGGTCGGTGGAAAAGTGTGTGTGTGGGGGGGGGGAGGGAGGGAGAGGAAGTTCCCATACCTGGGAATATATCCCTGCCCCACCCCCCCCCCCCCCCCCCCCCCCCCCCCCCCCCCCTGGGGGGGGGGGGGAAAGGTGTGGGGGGGGGGGGGGGGGGGGAGGGAGAGGAAGTTCCCATACCTGGGAATATATCCCTGCCCCACTCCCCCCCCCCCCCGCGCGCCAACCCACGTAGTTATCGGAAGAAGAAAATAAGATATCATTCAGACGCTAAAACGTATTTGGCACGAGATTTGAATAAAGATTATTTGTATAGCTCAGCTTATTGTCATTTACGGTGTCGGCTTCCGCTGAACATTATGCTAAAATAATCCTTAATGGCTTAACCTGGAATGTGATATTGAAATTACCACATTCCTCTACGGTTCTCCAAGTCTCTTCCTTAACCATTCACATAACGGTGTTGTTGTTGTTTGTTTTTTTTTTAAATAGTGCTCATAAAAGGAAACCAACATAAGCAATCATTTTCACCACAGTGTACCAAGTAAATATGTAATACTAGTCAACATTTTTTTTCACTAGACATCATTCCGTCACAGTGTGACGATGGTGTAGACGTCGCAATGTGACGATGGTGTAGACGATGGCGCAGATGTCACAATGTGACGATGATGCCGACGTCACTGTGTGACCGATGATGTTGACCAGTGGCTCCCAAACGTTTAAGTTCGGCGTACCGGTGAACAAGTTTCGAAATTTTACCAGGGGGACCGGTGCATGATTTATTTTTATACTTGTATTTCTATTCGACAATAAACATTTATGTTATGGGGAACGGCAGCGTTAGGCATGCGGACCGGTGAAGGTCCGCGGACCGCTATTCGGGGGCCACTGATGTAGGCGTCACAGTGTGACGATGGTGTAGACTTCATAGAACCAAATCTCAAGGCCTGGAATTTTTCTTTTTCTTCTAGTGCGGAAGCTGTTTCCCTAAACAAACAAAAAATCCGATCTCTCCACGCACCCTGATAATCCAAAGGGAACATCGTGCTGTGAATGATACAGCTTGGCACCAGTAGTGTCGCAGGAGTTGCCTGAATTTTCAATGTGTCAATGTCACACCGCCTACGGGACTCCATCTCCGGGTTTTGAATTCAGACTTTTTCCTTCTCTTAGAACAGCGGTTCTCAACCTGTGGGTCGTGACCCCTTTTTGAGGGGGTCGAACGACCCTTTCACATGGGTCACCTGAGACCATCGGAAGACACCTTTACACTACAGTTATGAAGTATCAACGAAAATAATGTTGTGGTTGTGGGTCGTCACAACGTGAGAAAGTGTATTAAAGGGTTGCGGCATTAGGAAGGTTGAGAACCACTGGTCTTAGACCTAGTCAACCAGAGACGTAAGAATCTGAATCTTTGGGACCCATGTCGACGTTTGTTGGGAGTCTTCAAACCTTACCAGCGACACCCAGAGGAGACGTTATCACTTATTGCATGGATTGATCCAACACACTTGGAGATTGGTTACTTACTAAACCAATCGTTTTTAATATATAGGTAAAAGACTACTACAATTGAAAGAAAAACGTTTGTATAATGTTTAATGCAAGAAAAGAAACTTTTTGAAAATGATAATTTTTTTTTTAATGTTTTTTTTTGTATCTTACCCTTTATTGTCCGTCAATGCAGCACCCCCCCCCCCCCCCCCCCAAGTTGCATAGCTAGGAATAGTACCGCACGTGGGTGGGTTAGAGATGTGTACCACCTACTTTGCCACACCCCCCTCATTATATAATAAAAAGATGCCACCCAGGGTGGACCACACCATACAATCCCACCCCTTCCTTTCCCCCCCCCCTTGTTACCATATTTCCAAACACCCTATCCATAGTTAACAGAACACACCATTTACCTTTCCCACCTCCGCCCCCTGTATTACCCGTGCACGCCCTCGTGCCCCATACACAAGAACGACGCCCGACGCCAGTCTAAGGTGGCATTCTTTCCGTCAGTCAATTTTTCTATTTATTAAAAAAACTCCCCCCTACACCCTTCCACCCCCCCACACACACACGCACCAATGCCATTCTAGTGTTCTCATCCATGCTGTTGGTGGTAGCGCCAATTTGATGAGGGTGAAGCTGAGTGGTTGTGTTCACGCCTCGCTTTCATTCAGTTACTCTTTCTGGTGGTTGTTGACCCGTCCATTCCAGAACCCGCACCCCCACCCCCACCCTCACCCCCCATAAATCACACACACACACCACACCACACTTTCATTCAATTTTATAATTTTTTTTAAAAACTGTAATTGCGCTTGAATGAACAACTCTCTAAGAACGCGGCTGTACATTTCGGAAGTCTAGTCCTCGGGTTCTTGAAAATTCTTTAACTAGAAAATTGAAAGGGGGGCAATAAAGGCAGCAAAGGGTGATCTAAGGTGACTTAAGCTGGGGGGTTGGGGGTGGTGGGGAGTGGCGTGGGAAGAAAGAGGTCGAAGTGGGGGGGGGGGGGGTGTTCAATTTTAAAAAAAAAAAATGATTGAATCTCCATTTTTATTTTTCATTTCTTTGAGGGTTTATATACCAAAAAAAAATATAAAAGAAAGATTTTCTTTCTTTCGCAATTTCTCTGTTTGGTTAATACGTTGCTACAGCTTTGTGGGTGGATTTTCTGAGGAGGCACTACCGAGTGTTGATTGATTGCTTAAAAAAACAAACAGAACAAAAAAAAACAGATACTCGATTCGCCTTACATTTGAACCGCTGATTCAACATCTAAATGCTCTTTTTCTGTATAGTTTTATTCACTCGCTGTAAATGCTCCGGGATAAAATTGTATTGTAAACAGATTTTATTGTGTGGAGTTTAAAATATATATATATATATTTTTTTTAAAATATAAATTTATTTCAAGGGAGTCTATTAAGAAAAAAGAGTTTCCATCGTATAAATTATTAATTACTTCCCCTTAATTGTGATCCCGCTTGCTGCTGCCACAGTGGTGAGTTGACATGTCAGCCAGGGCTTTAGATCTCAACGTGTCTTTTTGTTTTTGTTTTTGTTTTTGTTTGTTTTTTTTTTTTGTTTGCATCGGACCCGAAGAT